GTCAAAAGGTGGCGGGGGGAGGGGGTCCTGGAAATCCCCACCCCTTTCCCAAAGTAGTTGGAATAATCCTCCTACTCATTAGCATATGAAATTACTGAGCCCATAAAACCTAACAGCTCCGCACCTCGCGGTTGCTCTGGCTCTTGCCTTCTGAGACGGCCCACGTTCTGCCTATGGAGTGTGTATCTCCAAAGCCGTTTTCCCTTCTGAGACAGACCCCACTCTGTCTGTGAGTGTGTATCTCTCTAAATAAACTTGCTTTTCACTTTACTCTCTAAATAAACTTGCTTTCAGGAAAATTCTTTCCTGAGCAAGGCAAGAACCTATTCTCCCACAACAGATGGACAAGCATTAGCAGAACTTGCTGCCCCCGAAGGAGAAACTTAGAGCATCCAACCCTACACGGACAAAGCATAGCCCTCCACACACCATGATCTGTCACAAATGCCCCCTTCCTGAGCACCTGGGACTTACAGGTGTGTGGCCCAGCTGCAGCTCAGCTCCCCTGCAAGGCTAACCCCGCTGCAGGGCTGAAAGGTCGGGTGGGGCAGGTGCGGGTTGGGGAGCTGCAGAGCATTCAGAGGGACGGCTCCAGAGGGTCAATGACCAGGCCCCAGAAAACCTATTTACTTTAATAAATCAACTTACAAATGTTACACAAAGGAACATCTGATCATTTTGAAAACCCCTGTATGAACAAAAAAGACTTGCTGCCGAGATAAGCTCCTGGGGGAAATGGCTTCCCCGGGTCGGATGCTGGGCCAGAGGGGCTTGGAGCCCGGAGGGCCTGTGCTGGGAGGCAGCATGGGTGGCAGAGCATCCCCAGTGGGATCAGACTGGGAGGTGCTGGGACACTATGGTGGGTTGAAGAGTGCCCCCCACCCCACAAATTCTGTCCCCCTGGAACCTCAGGATGTGACCTTATCTGGAAAAAGGGTCTTCATGAATGCATGAGTTAAGGGCCTCAAGATGAAAAATCATCCAGGAGTTAGGGTGGGCCCTAAATCCAATGACTGGTGCCCTTATAAGAAGAGGAGAGGACACACAGACACAGCGAGAAGGCCGTGTGAGACAGAGGCAGAGATCAGAGCCATGAAGCGCCACGCCAGGGATGGCCGGAGCTGCCAGCAGCCGGGAGTGGCAGGCAGGATTCTCTCGGAGGCCTTCCGAGGGAGCTCAGCTCCGCTGATTCCAGAATTCTGGCCTCCAGAATTGTAAGAACATAAATCTCTGTTGTTTAAAGCCACTTGGTTTGTGGCAACTTGTCATAGCAGCCTCAGGAAACTAATACAGACCAAGGGTGAGAGAGGTACGCCGCGGGGCAGAGCGGCCAGATCTCTGAGGAGCTGGGAACAACTCAGGCGGCCCCTCGGCCTGTGAGGTGCAGTGATGCTGTCCCCTTCCTGAAGGCACCGTGGGACCCAGGGAGTGCCCCAGTGAGTCCTCCAGAGATGCTCCCGGGAGCAGGTGAGGGTGGGTGAGCTCCAGCAGACCGGGACCCATTAGGCTGCTTTCCTAACCTGTGCTGTGGTGGGAGGTCCAGGCATGGGCCTGGGAGGCTCCAGCCTTGGCTGTCAGCTCATCTCAGTCATCACTGAGATTTAAAAATACTAGTGCCTGAGCTAGCCTGGGCATCTCTGGCCATCCCCTCAGCAGGTAATGCTAGCGTCCAGCCAAGTTGGAGAACCCGTGAGGGACCCGTGAAAAAACCCGGAGGAGCGCATCTCCCCCCACAACTCCCAGGTGCCAGCTGGCTCCAGTGTGGTTTCAAACAGGTGGGCCAAGGGCCAGGCGGGTAGGTGGGTTTCACTGGCCTCTGGAGGGGGAGGGGGGCTAGTCTCACCACAGTTTCTTCTTAGTACATTTTGAAAGAGGTTTCTTAGTTGGCGTTTTATACAAGAGAATTGTTGCAGACATGACTCTCACCAGGCCGTTTCTAAGTCTTGATCTTTCCCTTCTTTAAGTGAGTGGATTTAGACCAGGTGATGGGTGGGGTGGTGGGAGGTTGGGGCATGCGTGTGTCAGAAGGAGAACAAGGTACACGTGCGTGTAGGGGCAGTGCCAGGCAGGAGGCGGCTGGAGACCCACTTTCCCGAGGCCACAGGCCAACAAGTTGGCTTCTCCCCAGGGCCTGTGGGGGAGCCCCGCTCTGCAGGTCCGGTGGGCCCTCACGCTAGCCCCTGGGGCCTCAGGCATGCTCAGCCCCAGACAGAGGGAGGCTGGCTGCCACCCAGGGTGAGACTGAAGTCCCTCCACCATCCATGCCCCGGTTCAGGGCAGGACCAGATTCTGTGGTAGCTTTCTCCTACTGCCTCTCCAAACACAGAGTAAGCACTTGACAGACCTCGGCCATCAGAATAAGTGAATGGGGGCGGGGGATGGGACACACACAGGAAGGATGGGAGGGAGGGAGTGGTGCCTCTGTCCTGGGAACTGTCTGGGCACCTCAGCTAATCAAGGTAGGGGCTCTGCTGGGCTGTACTGGCTGACAAACAGGACATTTGTGGGTGGCAGTGAGGCATGGTCACAGTGCCGGGGGACAACTGGGGACACCCCCAGAGCCCTTGGGGATCTTGGCTACTCCCGGAGTGTCTCTGCCAGCACGTTAAGGAAAAACAGTTCCCCCTCTCCATCTCCAGAGAATTCATTAGCATGAGCCTGTGTACGCACAAAATTGGAGCCCCAGCCTCTTAGTCTAATTACCATTTTAGAGGGTATTGGGAAAGAAACTGTACCTGCAGCAAAAAAAAAAAAAAAAAAACTCAGAAAACCTGCTGTGGGGAGGGCACTTGCTCTCCTCTGGGCTTCCTCCGCCTCTTGCCACAACATTGGACATCGACACTGGGCCCCTATGGCCTGTCAGTCTGATGGAGTCTAAAAACCAAGGCAGACAATGTCTCTTGAAGCCACTTTGGTACCAGCAGGCACCTGACACCAGCTGTGGGGGGCAGGCCCTGTGCTGGGCCCACGAATGCAGCAGTGGATCCCAGGGGTCCTGGCCTTACCCAGGCCCCGAGCCCATCCAGGAGCCAGAGCAGGAGTTCCTGTAGAGTTGGGAGGCCAAAGGAGCCCTGAGGTCCATGTGCCAGGGGAAAAGGGGCGTGGAAGAGCATGGAGGGCCCCAACTGCAGAGCAAACGTGTGCTCTGAGCCTTGATGAGTCAGAGGAATTTTTCACAGCAGAAGAGAGGAGAGAAGAGGGAAGGGCGTTTCAGCAGAAGCAACATCACAGGCCAGGCATGGAGGCATGACAGGATCACTGAGCAGGAAGCAGCAAGCAGGGAGGCCCGCTGGACCACAGGATATAGGACAAGCAGTGGGCCATGGGAGGTGACACTGGAGACGGAGGTGAGCTGAGATTTTGAGGGACTCAAGTGACTTGGGGAGGAGTTGAGGCTTTGATCCATGCCAGTGAGGACCACTGCAAAGGCCCTGGGGCCACCTCTGCCTCCCACCACTGCCAAGAACACCAACCACAAGTATCACTATTATCAGTTGGACATTAATAAGAAATATTATAAATGACTTAATATTTAAAAAATCAAATAACCAAAATAATATCTGTGAGGCCATTCATACACACACACACACACACACAAATAAGTGAATACAAGTCAGACTTGAGAACTGAAGTCCGTTAGAGCAGTGACTCGAATGCAAGACGACGCAGTGGGGCTCCCCCTGTGGGAGAGGTCTCTGACAAGCCCACCAGGGTACAAAGCCCTGGTCTGGAGAAACTCAACCAACACGAAGTGCAGCTGCAATCATCATCCCAGAGCCGACGCACAAGGCTGTGCACGTCACTTGGGGCCCCACGTCCTCACCCTTCAGTCAATTCTTACCAAGTACACTAGGTATCTGGTATTTCAGATGACAGCAGGAAAAGCAGGGATTGAGAGGGAGGCAGAGAAAGGGGCTGTATTTGAGGCAAAGATACTGACTAGTCCAGAGGGAGACAGACAGGCTGAACAGTAGACAGAGAGCTGTGATCCGTAGTGAGCTGTGCTCTGTACACTTCGTAAGTCCAGGAAGGTTGGCAGACCTCTTAGCACAGCAGCCCCCAGTGTGTTCTATAAATCCTTTGAGGATTCGATGGCAAAAGGATTCCATGACTAAATACATCCAGGAGATCCTGCACACTGCACCTCTATTTCCACAAATCAAAACCATACATTGATACAGTAAAGGCCCTGAGAAGCCCTGCAGTAGAGAAGTCCGTTTACTTTTGTCCAGAGTTCTCTAAATTTATACAAGCATTGAACCTTTCTCCCTGCCTTTTTTTTTCTCGAATAACACCTACTAACATTCCTGAGAACCAGTATCTCACAGAACCCAGTGGCTTAAAAAAATGCATTATAGTTTCTGTCTTAAGGAAGGAAACAATACATTTTTTCTCAAAAATAGTTGAAATGATTAACTTCAGCTCCTTGCATTAAAAGCTATAGTTGCAGGGAAAATTCATATCATTTGCACAAACCTGCCCACTCATCAGCGGTGCCAGGAAAGTGAAATATTACTGACCCCCAAGAGCTCAGACTTAGGCCATCTGGAGTCACCGCTATTTGACTCCAGGCCACCTTTGAGAGCCAGGAGCCACACAGGTCACTCCATCCAGTCTCTTGCCCATGTAAGGTGGGGTTAGGCCCATCACACCAGCCTCTCCAAGGAAGAAAGTGCCTTAGCAACCGTGTGTGTGTGTGTGTGTGTGTGTGTATGTGTGTGAGTGTGTGTGTGTATGAAGGTCCAGCAAACAGCCACACTCGAGAAGCAAGTTCTTCTGCTCTTTCACTTCCCTCATTTTGCGTTTCCTTCAGGGAGGTTTGGATTTTCAGAAGGGCTCAGGGTCTTCACCGGGCTGGGACCAGTGCACAGATGGGAAAATCCTCCAAGGCTATATGGACACCCTGGGACCCGCGAATGCCCTGCTCTCACCCCAGCATCAGCGAGCCGGTCATGGCTGCAGACACCACGGGCGCTCGGGGCGGGGACCCAGGAGCTCACCTGGTACGTGTTGTCGAAGCTGTCATACATGAACCGCGTGATCAGAGACGTCTTCCCGACTGTAAAACAAGAAGAGAGGGGTTCAGCCGTGATCCACGCTAGGATCCAAGCTCCTCTAAACACATCTCACGTGACAAAAACAGACAATGAAACAAAAAACCCAGAGGAGAAGAAGAGATGCAGAAGCAGAAGTGGAAGGCGGGAGTACCACCCTCCACCGCCCCCACAGCCCCCACCGCCCCAAAGAGAGAGACCTCGAGGCGAGGTAGCCCCGTCTACACCTGGAGGGCCACATGGGAGTTCTTGCCCGGCACCAAGGAGGCTTCCCCTCCGCCTTGTGAATTCTTACCACCCAAATCCAGGTCTCCCCACAAGAGCCCAAACGATGCAAGAGCCTCCCATGAAGAATCAGAGCAAGCGTGTGCACTACAAGGTGCTCCCCTCAGTGCGCCCACGTTCACCTGGAAATACTGCCTTGCCATTGGTCACAGGCGGGGAGGGGGGCAGGCTCCTTTACTTCCCAGCCGTTCAGCCTGGGGACTGGTGAGGAAGGTGGCTTTTCAAGGAATGAGGGGGCAGGGGGAGTAAATGGGTCATTTCCCAGTGTCTCTCATGGGCAGGACTAGTCTCCATAATGTGTGAGCCTCTTCTGACCGTCCAGCTTTTCATAGGATGCTTAGCGTCCCTGGACCTCGCTGGGGAAATGCTGGCAGGCTCTTCAGTCATTGTGGACTCCCCTGGACATCTGCAAATGCCCTCTAAGGGGCAGTAACACCCCCAACCGAGAAGCACTGGTATGGTTTAGGGAATCCCACGAGTGCTGCTAATTTCCCAAACTGCAGTGTTTGGCTTCTGACCTAACCCTGTGCGGGTCCCCTGGGGCCTGGCAGCAGCAGAAATGCCTACTACAGCGTTTCTGAGTATCTGGGAGGGGAGGAAGGAGGAGAAGGAGCATTTGTTAGGTCAGGCCCAGCATGGGGTGCTTCTCCACACCATCCCACCGAGTCGGCCATGGCCCTGGAAAGCTCAGAGGGGACTAGACCGGCAGGGCTTGGCTCAGAGCCCCTTCTGCTCCAAGCTGCTGGAGACAGATAACTCTGGCGGGGAAAGCAAAAGAGCCAGCACCCAAGAGTTCTCCATTATGCCTCTTCCCGATTCTCAGACGGGATGTCCACAGGCTGGGCCTGGCAGGTGGCTGGTCACTGCCGGGATAGAGCATGGCAACCCAACAGGGCTCCTCTGGGAAAGGCCCTATTCCAGCATGGAAGCCTCAATAGGACACCAGGCATCAGACGAATGCGACCCTCTCTCAACAGCCGGCATTTGTAAAGGAAAGGCAATTGTCTTCCAGCCAGAAGGAGCACCTGACACACTGTAGGGCAAACTTAGATGCCCCACCTTTGAGCCAGGATTGGTTAGCTGGATTCAAAGCCTGGGGGTACTATTTAGCTGTGTCATTTTGAGGTGGTCACCACCCCTCTGAACCTCAGTGCCTCATTTTAAAACGGGCATAACAACATCAGAGATTTCAAAGGGCAGTACTAAGAATCAAGTAAGATAACAAAAGTGCCAGGCACGTGGAAAATGCTTAAAAGTGGAAGGAGGGAGCAGGCAGCTGTGACAGCTGAGGCCATCTCCAGATACCAGCTGAAAAACAAACACCACCACCTCTGCGGTATGGCAAAGAATCTGACTCCTCTTTGGTTCTTGGGTGGGAGTAAAAGTACTGTCTTAGCTATTTCTGAGTCCCTGGATCACACCAGAGCTTCTGCTCATGAGGTGACTCCTGGTGGGCCCCTAATGGCTTCAGGGTGGGGTTATGCCAGCGGGACCAACCTTGTGATTAGAGCTTGGGGCTTTGAGCCCACGAGGGAAGGCAGGGTGGAGACTGAGTTCAGTCACGTGGCTGACGCTCAATCAACAGTGCCTAAGCCATGAAACCCCAATAACACCGAAGCTTTCTGGTTGGTGGACACACCCACGTGCCAGGAGGGCGAGGTACCCCGACTTCACAGGGAGAAGGCACGCAGCTCAGTACCAGGTCCTCCCAGACCCTGACCTTTGTGTCTTTTCTTTGGGCTGTTCCTGGTTTGTATCTTTCACAGACAAACTGTCATTAAGTGGAATGCTTCCCTGAGTTCTGTGAGTTGATGCGGTGAACTATGGAAGCTGAGGAGGGTCGTGGGGACCCCCAGATTTGTAGCCAGTTGGTCAGAAGTGCAGGTGTCCCTGGGGATCCCACTCACAGCTGGTGCCTGAAGTGGA